TATATTTGTAGTCTCCAGGGCTCACTGAAAAGGACAAGAAGCTTTTCTGCAATAAGCATTAAGGTTTAAAATCTTTAAAAGCTCAGAGATGTGATGGCCTAGGAAAGTGACACTGCAGTTTGGAGGCTTTCCTCTGTAGGTTGCTGGCTCCAACCCAGGAGGGGCCAAAAAGTAATAATAAATTGTAATTATCTCAATAGATCATTCCACAATTCTAGACAGATAAGGGTTTGTCTATGGGAATATAATTACAGGATCATGGCCTACAGCTTTTAATCTGACACCTGGCACAAAGATGCCATTTACACTTCATTTCACATGGTTTCATTATTCCTTTCTTCTCTAATCAGCCTAAGAACTGATGAGTACACAAATAGATACATTTTTCTACCTCGCTTCATAATGAAGTAATAATAATACATAGCTCTCAAGTGCTTTAGTATTTTCTTAATTATTATTATTTTAAAACAGTCACAAGTATAATATTATATCTATCATTTCAGGAGTCTTTGCAAATGTGGTTTCAGTAAGAGTATAGACCCACCATTCATCCCATTGTACACACTTCTGTGATGAGGTGACATGTCATCTGCTACTTGTCTCCTCAGGGTACCTTCTCTGCTGCTTCCTCCAAGATGCTTCAGATGTTCCGGACTTCCTCCATAATGCTGTTTGAGATGCTCAGGGCTAGTACCCCTCACTTTGTGGAGATGCTCTGTGCTTCCACTCAGTGCATGTTTCTGAAGGTGCTCTGGGCTGCCACTGCTGTGCTTTTGATGCTCTGGGCTACTACCAGGTCTATGTTTCTGAAAGTGTTCAGGGCTACTACTTAAAATGTGCTTAGGGAGAGTTTCTGGACTACTACTGGCATGCTTTTGATGCTCAGGACTACTTTTACCAATGGCTTTGTGATGTTCTGGACTTGGTCCTTTTAGGTGTTTCTGATGATCAGGACTTCCAGAGCTCCTGGGTTTTTGAAGGTGCTCTGGGCTAACACTCCTATGTTTTTGATGCTCAGGGCTTCCCTCACTCCTACTTTTTTGGAGATGCTCAGGACTGGTACTTGGGTGATGTTTATGATGGTCTGGACTGTCTGTACTTCCGGTGCTAGAAGTGCTGCTCCCATCACCAACATCTCGAATATAAGGACTTGCCGCATTTAACTGGCAGAGGCTGATTTGGCTGTCTATAGAACTCCTGCTGCCAGCTCCGCCACTTTTCTCTTCATCCAACAAAACACAGAGTTCTTTTAATTCCAGGTTCTCTTTAACTACTTCTTCTTGTCTCATTTCCAGTTCTTTCAGCTTCTGTAAATATAAGGCAACCTCTTTGTGCATAACCCCAGCACTGTACCTGCCCAGTCTTTGCCACTCTCGGGATACCTTCTTGCCTTTCTGTCTATCGTCATCCAAGAAACAACAAAGGTCTCTCAGTTCCTGGTTATCTTCTTGCAGCTTCTGATTGATATCCTTTAAAATATGACAATCATCAGTGAGAGAAGTTTCCAAAAATGAACATTTATTCAAACATTCAACAGTGTAAGAGCCAATTAACAGAAATGCTACAGATCTGTCATCTAATTTCCCCAGCTTCCTCTATTAAGGACATGTCAGCCAAAACAAGAACTAGAAATTTTGCATGTTGCCTGACCTGCTACAACTGCACAGTGTTTCTGTAAAAGAGGAAATTGTCCAGATACAAAAGTGAATATCGCCACGACTGAATCTGAAAAGGTTCCTAGATTATTTTCAGATATGGCACCAAAAATCTCATTTATTTAAGCAAAGATAATTGAAAACCCTTATTCTCCAAAAAGAGCAGAAGAAATCTCATCGTCTCTGTCATGAAATTTTCACTAGCATGATACTATCCTGTTGTACATTAGTAATGAACAAAAAACAGAAAGTGTAAGGGAGCTACTAATTTCATATATCGATGGTTTAAATCTATTTTAATTTGATGAACTACATACACAGACAAAACCAAACTCTTCACAGCTTAAAAATATTTCAGTGTTGTTTGATTTGAATCATAAAATATGATTGATGTTAAATTGGTTCAACCATTCTAAAATAAAAATCTCCTTTAATAGAGTCTCACTTCCCAAAAAAAAAAATTTTTAGAACATGCCCTCATACCCTTCTCCAACTGCTGAAAATTCATACTGGGAAGTAAACTCATTCAAGCTACTGCTACAGCAGAACATGATGCAGAGCAAACCTTTTTTATCCAGGAAGGGTGGTGTCAGCAGTGCACTGGCACTGGGCACACTAGCACAGGGGGCAGCAAATTAATAGAAGCACATGGGGGAAGAGGGGGAGCGCTCTGCACATGACCTGCTCACTTTTTAAATCTAAATACATTTCTAACAAATCACGTTTCCTTGTTATGTTTAATATGAAAACCAGAGATTAGCTAACCCTGCAACATATTAGCCTTTTGGAAAGTCCTATTTCTTCTACTTTCCTAATAACAAAGATGGCTGATGCGTCCCAGGCAGTAATCCCAGGACAGTCTTTTTTAAAAACAAAGGAATTGGCTGCTGAAATCCTGCTGAAGTTCAATGGGAGTTGGGAACCCAACACCCTCAAACTCCTTGGGGGAAAAAAAAAAACAAACAAAAACAAAAACAAAAAAAAAACAAAAACAAAAAACAAAAAACTGTAACCATAAAGCTTTCCAGAGCTAACTACCAAGTTTTTAAACGTATGTAAAATATTCTACTTGTTAAAAAGAGAATAAGACCTCTGTAATGAATAATATCTAAAATGAACTTTTAAAACTTTAAAGAGAGACCTATAAATTATTCAAAGAAAATTCATTTTCAAGTTCCATTTCAGGAGTATGAAAAAAGGGGGAAATAAATGTATCACTTAGGGAGTTCAGAGCTGGGTGCCACTATCACCTATCCCCACACATATTCCTTCAATTAAACTTGTTTATATAAAGCTTTTTTTTTATATATTTATAACCTCATATGCTGTAGTTACATCTTTGCCATACCAAGGCACACAGAATGACAGCCTGAACTTTGTATTACTAGGGCTAGTGTTGAAATTGACCCTTAGCTTTATTATTACTAATAATCAGCATGCTGTCAGATAGGATCCTGGCAATTTCTGATGCCATGTATTGTCAAAATGGAAACAAATCTAGCCATGCTTGGCAGGACAGGAAAATGAGAAAAGGGGGAAATTTCAGCACTTTAGAAGATTTTTTTTCTCCACTAAAGGTGCTCTGTATGAGCTAACAGTCTGAATCTGCTCTACAGGACTGGCACTTCCTCAGACCATGCCCTTCTGTGCATTTCTTCCCGCCCCCAACCTCAGTTTCCCCTTGGTTGAAAAACTTCCTTAGAAATTTCACATCTCCAGGCAAGAGGATGGAGAGTGTTCCCACAACTAGAGAAACTCATTTTTTCCATAAAACGATTTTGATAAGTTACATCACATGGCAGTAGTCTTTACACATGCCAAGTCTTGAGGGCAGGGTAAGCATGGACAATTCTCACCCAGAAAATACAGAGTTAATAATAACCAGGAATAACCAATAATCAACCAGGGAAACCCGATATGCCTCTCACCAGAGTCAGAGAAAATATTCTATAGAGAATTATTAGGACAGGTTTTAAAACAGAAACATCTCAAAAAAGGAGGAACTCTCTGAAGGTACATCCAACTCAGAGATTCCGTTATCACATCCTCTTTGCAGAACAAAGAAATCAGAGGATGGCATTAGTGAACCCAAATCAGGGAGGTTCCCCACAAATCTGTCACAGGGCATAAGGGAGACATAAATACTAAAGGCTCCCCAGAAGCCTGGTTGGAAACTTCACTGATAGGTTCAGAAACAATCTTAAAACAGTAACGGTATTTAACAGATCAGTAAGTCTTAAAAACTTCTGGGGCTGTGCAGCACTGCACCACCCATCATCTCGTCACCTCCACATGAAATGCAAACATGAAACCCCTTCAAATCTATGAGGTTTATGGATCAGGTGTACCCAGAACTCAACGTTTCTGATGAATCCTGTTTGACAGCTTGCCTCAGCACTGAGGCGAGAGATGAAAGCCAAGTGAATATTCAAGCAGTTCAAACTCCTGTTCTCTATTGAACAAATCCTAAAATCCTTATTCAATTTCTGTTCTGTCCTCACTAAGGGAAACTACCAACTCTCAATGAGAAATGACTGAAGGGAAACATTTAATGGGAGATGAAGGAATGCTCTCTCCATGTGGAATTTTCCCGGTGCAGGGGTGTCAGCTGCTTTCTCAGCATCATCCCTGGACTTCTGACGGTCTCTCTCCAAGTCTGTGCATGAGGGAGGGAAGCTGTTCTCATGACTCCCCATGCCCCCTAGCCTCACAGAGATCCTGTGCTTAACTCTTCCAACCCCACTCCCCAGTATATACCCCCCTCAACACAACCCAAAGGGAATCTGAGCATAATCCAATGACACTGACAGATATCAGTGTTTTGCAAGGAGCAAAATGCTGGTGAAATCCCAGGTTAGCTTCCCATATAGGATTCCCTGGCAATACAATTCCTCTAGCTCTAAAGGCCAGTGGCCACAAAGCTAGCACAAAAGCCAGGTGCTCCTCCACAGTGAAACCCTGGACTCACTGATGTCAAGAAGACTTTTAGCACTGACAACAAGCAGCTCCAGGGTTTCACCCCCACTCCCTCCCCCGGCATCTAGATGAATGTAAAGAGACCTGATAGAGGGATCAGACACCCATTCTTCCATGCCGGGCCAGAAAGAGAAGCCCCTCCAGGGGAGGAGGAGTGGGAAAGGAACACCCTGCCTGCCCTGGGTGTCCTGCCTGCGAGCAACCACGGGAGGACTCGGCCCTGGGTCATTTCCTTCCGTCGCTGGCGTCACCCAGTCTGAGAAGTGCGGCGCTTAGGAGTTTTCCTCAGCCCCCGCCTCAAAGCCATGGGTTGTGGTTTGGGTAGGGCTGATCCTGCCTCGAGGTAGAGAACCGGACAGGAGGTGGCCTCTGGAGGCACCTGCCAGCCTTGCTTCCTCAGGGCTGTACCCAGTGGCGTGGCTGGGGCTGCCCTTGCCTGCACCAGATGCAGAGATGTTAGGGGCTGGGGGAGACCTTACAGGAGCATCGGGGTCCACCCCCCTGCACGTGGGCAGGGACGACTGCCGGGGGCTGTGCCCCATGCTCAAACTGGCAGGGGCTGGGAGCTGCACTGACAACATGTCCCAGAGGCAAGACACGGGGCGCTGCCTGCCCCGCGCCTGGCCCAGCAAGGGAGGCAGGGGCAGGTGGGGGGGGTACCTTGAGGCCGCGGATCTCCCCGAGGTGCAGCTGGAGGCGGCGGTTGACCTCGCGGATGAGGTTGCTGTGGTCCAGCATCGCGCTCATCTTCTCCGCCTCGGCGCGGCGCAGGCTGCGCACCAGCTCCTCCTTGCTCCACTTCAGCAGCTCCTCATCGGGCACCTTGGACAAGTCCTCGCTCCCCGCCGCCGCCGCCC